GTAAATGGTTTCACTATGAATTTCATATATATTGACCTCAAGTTTACTAAATGACGTTAAATAAAAATATTTCACACACACCATTGTCTGCGATATCACCTCGGTGGAAGCGGTCATTAAATAAAGCCACTTCACACACTCACCGTTGGTGGCAGTGGACGTAAAACCCGAGAAACGAACGAACTAAATGACGATAAATAAATCTATTTCACACACACTAAATGTCATTGTGCTTGATAACAATCAGAGTAATTTGAATGAAATTTTCAATAAATTAATTTTACATTATTTATTTTCGAACTATTATAGTAAGAATGGCTAGCTCTTTATCTAAATCTTACATAATGTATCTTTAATTGACTAGACTAAAACAATATTTTAAAATATATATATTTGTCCAAATCTTACATAATGTATCTTTAATTGACTAGACTAAAACAATATTTTAAAATATATATATTTGTATAAACAAACCATTTGGAATGCTTATGAATTTTATCTAATGGCTTAAAATGAAACGTAGTGAAATATAATTTCAATTTATTTTTCAAAGCCATACAGTTAGAGCAATAGTTTTTGTTATGCGCTGCCCTCGCTTGAAAATTTACTTTTGCCTTGATGTGACATTTCATACAGGAAAATCTATTAATTAAGTCTGAGATTTCCTAGGTGTTTCATGGCAGAAAAATAAGGTTGTTATTTTAATGTTTTTAAAAAAGTTTTTATTTATATAGTCAAAAAGTGATGGGTAATTGTAATTAATTACATTGCTAAAAGGAGGAAACGAATTGTAATGATAACATTAAAAAAGTAATGGTAATGTAATTAATTGCATTGGCAATGTAATGGCCCAGCTCTGAGTATGACAACACCCCCGCAAAAGCACATATTTCGGTTTGTAGTATGAATGCTTCTGTACTCTTCAGGCCTTATCTGGCCATCATGTCTGCTCCGACATTTCCCGCCAATTTCATGAATGCACTTGATATCCGATTGTAGCGAACGCGTCAAAACATTCACATATTTCTCAACATTTGGCAAAGTTCCAAAATATGTCGGCCAACAATAACACACATTTCTCAAATAATGAAAACAAATATGGCGAATATTGAAGGGAAGAAAGGCTGACTGACGTAGGTGTGGGATAGGTCGGCCATTAGGTGCAACATACCGTGAGTAACAATAAAACGATTAAAGCACCTTTGATTGTTATAAGATGGAATCGTGAATTAATATTTATATAACTGTATATAATGTTTATATAAAGGGGCTTTATTAATGTAATAAACATTAAAAGGGCTTAATCAATCTGTATGTAATCAACATTAAAGGTACTTTATCAATCTGTCTTACGCATAAATATATCAAGAAGAAGGCGGACATGGGATTTAACGTCCCGCTTTTCTGGATAATGAAGACTGACAAACGTCACGCAGGGTACTATGAGAGAATTGTGGCTGGGTGGTAGCGTTTCACTGGCTCAACTTTGAATTTCAGCAACCATTGGTTCTTTGGCGTGCACGTCAACGGCTTTCCTCGCTAGCCCACACCATCCAGCAGAGCTAGGCCCCTCCTACCAGCGTTGTTAGGCACCACCGTTCAGCATTACTAGACCCTCCTTCCAGCATTACTAGGCCCCACCGTCCAGCAGGACTAAGTCCCTCCATCCAGCATAGCTAAGCCCCTCCGTCCAGCATTGCTAGCCCCATCCTTCCAGTTATGCTAAGAATATATTATATTGCTTAAAGATTTAGATAAAAGCTGGCCTTGCTATAATAGTTCAAAAATACATAATGCAAAATCAATATATCAAAACTTTCACCCAAATTACTTTATTCTGAGCCAAGGTATCACTATTTAGAACTTTGACAATATGTGGCATTAATTGTTTATTATCGTGACAACGCTACTTGTTATTCGAGACCAATCCTCACTTCTCCATTTTTAAATTAAATCATTAAATTGCCGAACCGTTCTAATCTACTTAAAATCGGAGCCACCCAATGCCCTAGATAGTTGATTATGGCCTTGCCATGGTCGAAATGTCAGACGCCTGTGCCTGTTAGTCACGAGCGTATAAAGTAAAGTTTTAACCAATAGACGACCCCAGAAGAAAGTTTCGACCTAATCGTATAATAGCTGCGTATTTCAAGCTCGGGTTTGATTTGTCAGGGACTTGCCTGACATAAATATATCCAATGAAATCGTTATCTAAATGAAATGAATGAAATGGGTTTAACACCCTATTTCATCACCCAATAACACATTCTATAGTAGATATCGCCTGTGTCATAAATTTACATGAATTTTATCGGTCAATCTAAAAGGAACTACTTTTTTTATTTTCAAAGAACAGTTCATTTTTTATTAAAAGTATTTTCTTTCTTATTAAAAAGAAACTATTTTTATTTAATTGACCTTGATGGAAAAACTGGGTCAATATGAAGGACTTTGCAATGGTTGAATTGCTGTCAAAAAATGATTTATCACTACGCCGTAATGTAATCAGGTTCCGTAAAAGTGAAATCTATAGCAAAGAATTATATTTATTTATTTGTGCATGTAAGAAGGGATTGGGTGATAAATAAAATCTCCTACTCGTTTTTCATTGTATATCAATAAATATCAACACTAGTCGATAAAGTAAAAACGAGGCTCGTTTTTGTTACATTATCGACTTGTGTTCATATTTTTGATATCAATAAAGACTCGTAGGAGATTCTCTGTATCCTGCGCCTAAAGGTTCTAATGTTTCAAGGAAGACAGATTATTGTTTAAGAAAACAAACCCACATAAAAAAAACCAAATCAATCTCCAAATAGTCGTAAATTTGTACAACACTGAAATCAGTCTTTCAGATGTGCGCTGGTGTTTTCTGATCGAAACATCTGCACTAGAATAAACTAACTCAGCAGCTGTTCATTATCGACCCCCACAAGCTAGTTTCATATTTATGTGTTTAGTCATCATCGATTGCTATTATATGTCACTTTTGTGAAAACTGGGCTATTATTTTCAGATCCATATGTAATTGCTCACTTTTTGAGGCAGCAAATAAATCAAAACGCCCCCGCTTCTTGATTTAGATCTTGTTCTAATGGCGGGCTAATGACATGTGGTATAATGTCAAAGATATTTTAATTTATGGATGGGTAGGGGTGGGGGTGGGTGCAGGCAGATTGATTACCATAACACATGCGTGCTGTATCATTAGGTCCGTCATTGAGTCAACCGGTGTGGTTTCGATTCCCCGGTTGTACGTGACAAGGAGTAGGGTCGCCTGTCCAACCTCGTGGGTTTTCTCCGGGTCTTCCAGTTTCCTACCACTGAAAAAGACCTCTACGCGCAATCGAATTATTCAAACGTTAAACCCCATCTCTCTCTCTCTCTCTCTCTCTCTCTCTATATATATATATATATATATATATATATATATATATATATATACATGTATGCTCAATTATTTTTGTATGAATAAAACCAAATTCCATAAATTTTCATAGCGATATCTTGAATCGTTTGTGAGATGTGCCCAGGATTTATAAATGCACACCAAAAAATAAATCAAAATGCTAATTATTAAAAGGCATAATAACTATGTAAATAGAACTTGAAATGAAATGGGTTTGAACGTCCTCTGCTTGTCTTCTGCATCAAGGTGAATGTCTAGTAATGTAACAGCTGCCACCCAACGACGACTAAACGAATGCACACACTGCGATTTTACATTAAGATACGCGCGCCAATGTTACCTAATACGATGGATATATTTTTTATATCCGTATCACCATAACCGTGTTAGTGCTTACACACATATTCGAATTTTTACCATTCAGTAAACCATGCCAGTGAAAACTAATGCAATTTAATCGGTGTTTGTACGCCCATAACTGACATGGTTTCGATTCCCCGTGTGTACGTGACAATGTATATGGTCGCCTGTCCAACCTCGTGGGATTTCTCCGGTTCCCCCGGTTTCCTCCCACTACTAAAGACTCATACGCGCAAGTGAATTATTGAAATAAAAATCGAACCATATGTTAGTTCCGAAATGACAAATGACCTAGTTTGTGTTGAATAGGCGTTAATCTCTTATACCGTTCGAGAGTAAGAATTAAAGATGCATTATGTATGCGTGCTCCTTATTGTATCATAAGGTTTGTCATTGAGTCAACTTGCGTGGTTTCGTTTCCCCGGTCGTACGTGACAAGGAGTAGGGTCGCCTGGGTTTTCTCCGTGTCCGCCGGCTTCCTCCTACTGCTAAAGACCCCTACCATATGTTAGTCTCTCTCCCCCCTATCTCTCTCTCTCTTTCTCTCTCTCACACACACACACACTCTCTATTTCCCCTCTTATTATCATTATTATCTCTCTCTCTCTCTCTCTCTCTCTCTCTCTCTGTGTATCTCGAAAGAATTTTGGAATCCACTTGTTACAATTCTGTCTGGGTCAAATTAAATATAGTAATTCAATATGTATGTAGTACATATTTCACTTTGTCATAGACAGAATAAAAAATAAAGCGACACGAAATATTTATAATGATATAGGTAAGGTCAGGACAGGTGAGACAATGTTTATTTAATATTTTCATTGCATCATCTGTCTCTTCATCCAGTCTACCGTATCTAAAAGAGTGTTTTATCGGTTGTATAGCGAAAAAGACAGCATACCGTCACTTAGTATCTCAAATAATATTTTGTATTTTGTAAAAACAAAAACACGTATTGTTAAATCATTATCATTTGGCAATTACCAATGGCTATATATGGTACATTTCACCTGCACGTTATTTTTATAAAATAAAAGTTCAGACACCGCATAATACCGCTTGGGACACTGGTCTCTCCATTTCCAGATGAAGACTGACGGGTTTATTTGTGTGTAGTGCAGTCCTCCTGTGCTTACTATCTTTATAATAAAATTAAATTTACCTCTTTGAATCCGGAACATGATTATATAACATCATTTTTATATACCATTATTTTTTCTATTTACAGGATTTGGTTTCGTGGATCACCCTAGGTACTTATCATATACCTCAAACAGAACACATGCCAAATACTCCAACAGTAGGTGGTCATCTCTCATTTATGTTGACACCATTTAATTATTTTGAAGAAGACCCTTCTATGTCTTCCCGAGATGCCATTCGGATTTCCCCGAAAGACAAAAAACGCCCACTCGATGGGGCTAATGTTGAAAGGTATGGAATGCCTACTGAAACATCTTGTGTTAAAGACAGCGAATCGCTGGAAAACATGTTAACGAATAGCAGTCGTTTCTTATTCTTCTAAAGACAGAAAGTGTGCGATGCGAAAATGAACATTAACTTTGATAAAAAAAAGTTTGCCAAACTTTGAAACTTATCTCATTAAACCATGACTAAAACCCTAGAACTAGTAGAGATATGGGATGTTGTTGTTGTTTATTATTAAAACAATAGTCCGACAACCATTGTTCCAAGTTGGTGACAGAAGATCTGTTTAAATAAACTATGACGGCTTCATTATTAAATATGAAGTGAGCTACATGGGCCTAGTGCTATTTATATATTAATATATTTTGTGCAATCTGATTAAAACACAGATCCTATTTCGTTTCGTTTTTTTTATTGTTAAAAATTTCGTTTTACTTGTCTTTACTACACTAGGATCTGAAAGAGTTGTTATATAACACGCGTTCTGGTTGATGTGGGGAATTAGCCAATGAAATGGTGACATTTTGGCGTGAGTTGCATGGAACTGTGGGTAACCCACTAAAACATCAACACTGATTGGTTAATCAAATTTCTGATGCAATAGGATCAAAAGTCTCTCGTATGACCTCTGACGCGACCTACCGTTACAGCTGGTCAGATCTTCATGTAGTGTAGGCCATTGAAAGTATAAATAAACGAAACGAAATATAGATCTGTATTTGAATCTGATTGATTGTGTTAAGTTATTAATCATGTTTATAATGTATTATACATATATGTATATGTATGTAAAATATAAACCATTTCAATAGTATGTATATAGAAACAATATTTAAATTAAGCTGGTGACGTTCACTGTGAAACTGATATCGTTCACTTCTGAACCTGTGACTTTTACTAATGAAAATGTTCGTCATTAAATTGTAAAACAACAGAGATAATTACGGATGCTGGTGCAATAAGGTGGACAAGTGTCGCTGTTTTTAAACAGGATTATTAAAATTTGATGTTTTCACAGATTTTTTTCATTTTTATCATTCTGATTTCTCTTATCACCGCATGTGTCAATTTTAGTGTTCTGGTCTAAAATATGCCAAACACTATTTTTGGCAGATTTTGTGAAATGGTACTTGTCTGTTGTCTACCTTATTGTACTATTTTAATTAAAGCGACGTTTCGTTGAAGGTTCCCTCAACCTTATTTGCTTGAAAACCCTTAGAGAACCCCCAACGAAATTTCGCTTTAATTAAAATAGTAATTGTGTTGCATAGTATGTTATTATGTTTATTAAATCATCATTACAGTAAACTAGTATTTAGTATGTATAGAAAGTGGTTAGAACTTTGGGTAAGCAATAGAAACGTCAACGCTGATTAATTAATCAATGTCTGACGTCATAGGGTCAAAAGCCGCTCGTATGACCCCGACCTTCCACCACAACTGCTCAGAACTTCATGTAGTATAGGTCATCCAAAGTATAAAAAAAATCGAAATATAGATCTGTATTTTAATCTGGCTGGCCACAATTCTATGGAATACAATTACTGCTTATTACGGAGCGATGTTTCGACCAGTCTTCTCCAGTGTTTGTCGAAATGTGGCGGTAATTGTATTCCATATAATTGTGACCTGTATATATATCATTAATAAAAGACATTTATTCTTAAGTGAAGGGTATTACCTATACAGTGATAATAAATATGTAAACGTGAATAGTAATGGGTATTATGTCTTCAGGTGCTAATTTTAGTCTATTATTCAATTCATTGATAGTCATTTTTATTTAACTATTTAAACAATTTTAAGTGTAGATATAGATCTCTGAACAGTGTATGGTTAACAATCATGTTTCCCAAGATCATTATGATTTTCAGCATTTGATTATATGTATTAACTTTCCAAGACTAGAAATCCCCAATTAAATGCAATGTTCCGATTTACTTTGTATACTTTGTAAGTCCGATCGCGCATTAAGAAATTATCTTTCTTAAAGATATCGATTCCTATAACATACCTTACTCCTCCCACGAACCCTCCTCCCCCGACCCTCCTTCGCTAGCCCCATCACACATAATTAAAATCGTTGATACCTGGGTGATGCAGGATGCAGGTAAAGGGAACTTTAAGGGAATGCTAGACACTATATAAAATACTATCCCCCCAATAGCAACGTGATATTTACCGTTATTGGCGATCGATTTACAAATATACCCTTCGACAAACTCAATGTATATCCGATAGCCATTATTATACTGTTAGTTACGGGATGACGTGAATAATGGTTGTCTGCAGGGGGCGGGGCTACTGGAAATTAAAACTAGATGATTGACACAAACCGTTATATAATTTGTGCACCTATAAATATATCTCCACCGGGGGTTTCATAACCAACATCTGCGATATCACCTCGGTGGATGCGGACGTTAAATAAAGCTATCACACACACAAACACACACACACACATAACCAACATCTGCATAATGGTTGTCTGCAGGGGGCGGGGCTATTGGAAATTAAAACTAGATGATTGACACAAACCGTTATATAATTTGTGCACCTATAAATATATCTCCACCGGGGGTTTCATAACCAACATCTGCGATATCACCTCGGTGGATGCGGACGTTAAATAAAGCTATCACACACACAAACACACACACACACATAACCAACATCTGCATTTAACGTGCTCAAAATAGAAGATATTTTATGTGTAATAAACAGTAGACTTATTATTTTGTTCACATTCTTGATTTATATAAAGAATATAATATAAACAATAAACCTTGTTATAGATACAAAGCCGGATTCAGGAGGGGCCCCTTATAATAAAGGGCCCACAAATAAGTTCTGAAAATATTTGGTCCATCAATAAGTATGCCATTTATTATGTTGAATGTTATGTTTGTGCCAAATATTACTGACCTACAAATTGCATTTATGTGAGTTTTGAAGGAAAATAGAGAGGTTTCGCAACTTTACATTTACATTAAGTCGGTAAAACGTCATCAGTTTTTGTGACATGACGTGAAGCGCACGTCATAAAAGTGTGCCCGACGGATAGCAGACTCTCCATAACTGTAAGTTCACAACACTTAGCTAAACCTTGTTTAATTTCTATAATCGGGTCCATAAAATTTCTCCGAGTCTTGGTTTTCACGAACTAAATCAACAGATAAGACCTTCTTCTCTTCTTCATGTAGATACAATAAGAAGAGGCATACTTTACTAAGTGTAACTGTAATTGTCAATTTAGCGAAATCTCTCTAATGTACCCTTTCTTAATACTTATCTAATGTAAATATAAGTGTAACTGTTAACTTGTGAAACCTCTCTAATGGCTAGGATATCCCCCCTTTTCACTGCTGTTGCAAAAGCGCCGTGACATTTTCATTCATAGGCGCCATGCACGCTTGATCCGGCTTTGTATATATTTATATATATATATATAGATATATTTATATAAGTCATATCGTTTATTATTTTATAATGTAGTAATATCATAAGGCAGCTTTTTATTTTGTAATTGTAATTGTATTGTAATATGTTACTTATTGTAATTATTATTTTCGAAAATGTTGTGCAATAAAAAATAAATATATACTTTTTATCTGAATGTTTGGCTCGTCCTTGGGGAGCCACGGTGGCTAAGTGGGTAAGACGCAGGTCCGTAGTTGGAGGGGGGGGGTTGGATGGCTGAATGGTTAGCGTGCGCGCGCTGTATCATAAAGTCTGTCATTGAGTCAACTGGCGTGGTTTCGAATCCCCGGTTGTACGTGACAAGGAGTAGGGTCGCCTGTCCAACCTCGTGGGTTTTCTCCGGGTCCTCCGGTTTCCTCCCACTGCTAAAGACCCCTACGCGCAAGCGAATTATTGAAATAAAATTAAAACCATATGTTAGTCCCGAAATGACCTAGTTTGTGTCAAGTGGACGTTAAACCCCATTTCTCTCTCTCTCTCCCGTAGTTAGAGGGAGGGGAGGGCTTCTTGAGGTGCCGATGGGGCTTCTGAGGGCGCTGATGTATCTACACCGTAGAAGCGCCGCCCTTCGGTTTTAGGGTGCTCTCTCCCCAGAAAATTTTGGAATATAGGGTTTGCATCTATGAAAATGGCGGAAAATTTCAATTTTGAGGCTGAATTTGCGATATTGGCGTTTTATGATATTTTGATAAGAACATCCTAAAAATTTGAAGGATGGAATAAGAATTCATTCGTGGGCGCCTAACCAATCTCATTCGGTATTATGGGTGCTAATTATATTATGGGGGTGTAATATCCTACTGGGCTAATGAAGATGGGCATACGCCATACAGTGTGCTAGGAGAGACATTTTGCCTGGGCAGTGGCGTTACCAACTCCTCTGATATTTCGAATTCCAACTGTCAAGAGTTCTTTTACGTTTACGTGTACGGAGCATGGCAGTAGGGTGTTAAACCTCATTTCATTTCATTTTTGTAGTCTTGTATTCCCGGTAAATAAGCTGAAAGTTATTCATTTGGGAAAAGAACAATATCTCATTAGATCCAAGAATGTTCTCGCGGTTATCTAAATCGTATTAAACACAGGAAATGCCTCAAGTGTTTGTTCCAATGAATGGCCTGGAGAATGTTTTGTCATTAAGTGCATCAATAAGATCAGTGTTTGTTACAAAAGGTTAATAGAGTCCCTTGGTGATGGTTTAAAGATTAGAGTACCTAGATTCAACCCTTTATACAAGTCCCCAAGATCATCTATTACGTCGGGGATATGATTGCGAATCGAAAATAAACAACAACATCCCCGAAGGTTAACCGAACAAGACCAACAATTCTCTAAGCACGCCCACGAGAACGACAATGACTACAAGAGAAATCATTACAAGAAATCAAGCAATATGAATTTGACAGTTTCTTTGGGGTATTACAGCGTCTAGTCGGTAGGATGGGGCGAAAAAACGTGCTCCCTGACAGTTTGAAATGACATGGGGTTTAGCCCCCCATTGTTCTGCTCCGACTGGGAAATGAAGAAGCGCATACGCCATACCGTGTGCTATCAGGGAATTTGTGTCCGCACAGCGGCACTATGACCTACTATTCCAACTACCAATGGATCTGTTAGGCGCACACCAATGTGTACACGGTACAGGGTTGCGAGCCAGCGTCTTAGTTTCCTGTGGTATTCTATCCCCACGCCTCTACTCTGACCTTCGAGAGCTATTTTCTAGTTCGTTAAGCTGACGTCATTTGGTACGTAAGCACTTATATACAGTATTACTTATACACTGACAAGATTCTCATACAACAAATAGAAGAGAGAGAGAGAGAGAGAGAGAGAGAGACTAGCATGCTAG